TAAAAAATCTTTAAAGTTTTTTATTATTAAAATTAATGAAATTATTTTTGTTTTACAAATTTTTGAAAATTTTTAAAGTTATTCAGAGAATTTTTCAAAAATTTTTGGAAAAATTTTAACAGGTAGAGATCTCTGAAGATTTTTATCAAAAAAATTTCCTAATGTAGTAAAGAATTTTTAATATTATTATAATTGATAATTGAAAAATAAAAAATATTATTATTTTTTTTTTTTGACTAATTTATAATTATATTACAATAATATGTTTTTATTAAAAAAATAAAAAAATTTATAATAATTTATAAACTTTTATAAAATAACTAACTTGTTATTATATATGAGTATTTTAAATTTAATTTTAAAAATAACATTATATTTATTTAATAAAAATAAATTAATCTTTATTTATTAAGATTATAATTAATAATTTATTATTATTAATTGATCTGAAAATTAATAAATTGTTAAGTTAGAATAATAGAAAAAATGAAAAAAGGAAAAAAATTATTTAAAGTTTTATCCAAAAAAAATCTAAAAATAAAACTATTTTTTTAAAAAATTTGGTTAATTAAGATATTGTTTTTATTTTATTTAAATCTTGAAAAAAAATTTTTTTTATTATTATTTATAAAATAAAATAAGCTAATTTATTTAATTTATTATTTAAATAAATATTAGATTAAAATAATATAGGAAAAAATAAAAATCTGAGTTTTATCTATTAAAGTTTTATTATTATTTAAAAAATTTAAGTCAAAGATAAAAGTTTATAATTTATATTATCTATTTTTTAATTTTTTGATATTATAAATATTCTTTCAAAAAATTGGAATTTTCAAAGAATAAATATTTTTTATATGGATAATTATTTTTAAAAATAACAAAAATGCCATAACTGAATTTTTGATCCATATATTTGAATAATACATATATAATATAAATTTTATAAGTACAATTATAAAGACAGAAAAATTCCTGTCTACCTTTGAAAATAATTATCTATATATTTTTTTAAATTATTAATAATATTATTAAAATATATAAGTATAATTAATAGGACTTTATTTATATTTCATAAATTAATATTTTATATTAATTATCTTTTATAAGAATTTGTATTATCTAAAATTTAAAGTAAATTAAAATATATAAATTTCTTAGAAAATCTTATAAATAAAAGTTTTAAGAGAATTAAAATAATTAAAAAAAAATTAAATTTTTTATTATAAAAAAATTTCTATAATCTCTTATTTTAAAAATTAAAAAAATCTTCAAATATTTTACAATAAGTTTTTTTTCCTTTATGAACTTTTTGCTATTGATATTAAAAATATTATTTGATTTTTCTTAATTATTGGAAGTTAAGTTTTTAAGTAAAGTGATTTATAAACAAAAAAAAAATAATAATAATTTTTAAAGCTATATTTCAAGTTATTTTAAGAAAAGTATTAAGATTTTATTAATAAAGAAATAAAAAACTTTTTTGCAAGCATTTTTTTATATATAATCAAAGAATCAGTAAAAAAGTTTTTAATAAAATATAATTTATTTAATATATAATTTATAAAAAAAAATTATAAATATTTTTTAAAATATATCAAATAAAAAAATCAAAATAATATTTTAAAAAAAGTAAAAAAAAATTTTTTTTTATAAAAAAATAATACATTAATAATAAAAAATATTTAGAAGAATAAAAATAAAATAAAAAATAAATATAGTATTTTAATAATAAATCTTTAAATATTTTATAAAATTTTATTATATAAATAGATAATAAAAAATAAGATAGTTAATAAAGTTAACCAATTTAATTATAATAAAAAAATTTTTTTAAAAAATTATTATCATTAAATAATTTCAAAACAAACCAAAAAAAATATATAAATATTAAATAAGAAATATAAATACATATATATAAAAAAAAAATTATTGCAAAAACAAATTTAATAAAAAAACAAAAGATTAATAATTTGAAAAATATATTTTAACAAATAATAAATTAGAAGAAATAAAATATGAACTTAAATAGTTATAAAGAGAATGGATTTTAGGAAATATCTATATTAAAGAAAGATTTAACAATAATAACTTGTTGGCAATAAAATATTAACATTTAATTGAAAGAATCTTTATTCAATTATTATCAACTAAGATAGGCGTGTTGAATAGTATAGACACTTTAGATACATGTGGCTAATACCTATTAACCATATAAAAAATATATATATATTAAACAATTTAATTTAATTTACTTTTCTATAAATATAAGGCTTTAATTTTATTAAATTATTGTCAAAATTATGATAGTTATATGATAAAAACTTTAAATTATTATTATTAATCTTTTTTTTTTTGCAGATTGGAAAGTTTATAACAACGTCGAATGCAAATAATGTATTGTGACTTACAATCCTTTGATACCAATTTCTACTGTGTTCTTGCCGACAAATTGAAAAAATATACAATGGAATTTCACCACAAACTATAAAAAGAGCACCTTTACGCGGGGGCTCCATAGGCTTCCGGTAGCCTTTCAATGGTGTATCTTCTTCTTGAAATGTACATAATTGGAACACCCGGAATTTTTCTTATGCGACGCTTTAAATCCCTATCGCAGGTCGCCACAATGTAACATTTATGCTAAGTCATAAAAATAAATGTAATGAGTAGAGAATAAAATTGAGAGATTGTATCCAAAAATTGCAATAGTAATCTTTACCTGCATCACTCGTTGAACCAAACAATCATCGGCGTATGTTCCTTTGTGAGAACAAGGTAACCTTTCAAATCTAGGATCTCGGGCGATTCTAAGTTTACGTGTAGAATTTAAAATTTGAGTGAATCGAAAAAAACAAAACCAAAACAAAAGCATAAATAAAGTCTTACCTAAGCGCGATCCTGTATTTTGGTCCTAATTTTTCTAATTCCGCCATCACACAATCAGTGATACATGGGATACCTGATGGTGCGAAAATTAATAAAGTCTAAAGGCGTTCATAAAAAAATTAGTAACTTACATTTTGCATAAAGACAATCCATCATAGCTTTTACAACTTCCAATTTGTTTTGGATCGAGAAATTAATAAAGTTTGTATCAACCAAAATATGGTAGGGTGGTCCCAAAGCTGTGTTGTATCTGAAGAATAATGATGAAGCCACTTGCGGTCTATGAAAAGAGAAATAATGCAATCGGTAAACCGTCCAATCAATATTAAAACATCACGTCATTTAATTTATTGTTCCGTACATGTTTCGCACTTTCTCTTTCTCTTTCTGTTCTTCCTTCTTTTTCTTTTCTTGCGCAGACTTTCTATTGTTCCATTGGTAAGTCCAAAAGATCCACAAATTTCATGGTAATACTAATATAAAATCATGTATTCCTATAACACTCACAATCTTGAATCATTCGGATTTAATAGTCGCTTGACTTGAGCGAATTTTCTAGTTTTCTTAGCCTTTCCCTATAACATGATATAAATTAATTATTTTTCCGATCAATGAAAGCGTTTAGAATTTTATTTTTTGCTATAACGCAGCACTTACCATCTTTCAGTACGTCGTTCCTATTCTGCGTAAGTCAGTATATATGAATTTCATTTAGATCACGTGAAATACAATGGACATTACTAATAAAAAAACCTTCTGGTCATCGTTCATATGTATTCTTTTTGACAGCCTCATCGAATAAAGGGATAGAAAAGAATTATAGAAAACTTTCTATAATGTCTCTGTACGGCGACTTACCTCCTCCCACGCGTTCGGCACCCAATACGGACAAAGAGGAAACTCAACAGTCCTCTTTGGAGACGCAATCAACGAATCCGAAAACTTCAAAATCTGCTCTCCCAGGTACAAGCAGATCTGGCAAACTCTAAAAAAAATTTTTTTTTTTATACCGACTATAAACATGGATTTGCTCAAACTTTCTGATAGTATGTGCAAGTGTAATCAATAAATCCAACTCAAAAATCAAGTCACTCACCTCAATAACCTTTCGCCACGAATGAAACGTGTGTATCGAAAATGGACTTTTATCAGTTGGTTGGACTCCAGGAACATTACGTTTTACGCCTACAATTCAGCGGAAACCTATCATTCAGGCAAAACCGAAGCTCAACCCCAAAATACAAGCTCCGCCACTTCAGAATCCAGTCACTTCGTCGTCGTCTTCAAACCAAACCTCCGTTTCGACGTCAAATCCAAACACTATCGTGTCATCATTGTCATCATCTCCTCCTCAACCTTTTCCCAGCGAAAGTGGCCCAATTGTACCACCCACATCCGCAGCGACTTCTTCTCCTAAACAACCGTCGGTTTTGGAAGAGTTTAGCGATCACAAGCCATTGTATAGTAATCAAAAAATCCATCGTGGTTCTTATGAAAAGGTGAATTTTTACTTTTCTAAAATTAATTTTTTTCCTGCTAGTGCTGGATTAATCATTTTTACTTTTGTAGGGGAAAAAACCTGTAAAGGGGGTTAAGAGGCAAGCACCCTTGTCATACGAGGATGAATATGATCCCACACGTCCCAACGATTATGAAGAATTCAAAGAATTTGAAAAAAGACGGCGCGAGAATGAAGTATACAAGCTTCATGAGGAAAGAATTCGATCAAGATCGAGGAGCGTTGGTTCGGACAAACGTTCACCACCTCGTAAGTTTAAGTGGATGCAGTAATTGAATGAGTTTTTTTTATTTCTGTTTACTTTATTTCCTTTTACCTTCCTTTCAGGTTCATTTCCTCCACCACCTCTATTGTATTCCGATTCACCCCCATCCTCCAAGGCAAGTGAAACTTCTGCAGATCCTCCGGCTGTACGTTCTCCTCCTGTTAAGCTAGATCTAGATATCTCTGGTGAAGAAGCATTCTTGCGAAGAGCGCGTCTAAGCAACCGTGTTGATGAGACTGTTCCAAAGTATTCTATAATTTTTGGGGGGGGTTCTCTCACTATGTCATAAATAGAAAACTGTAACAATTATTTTCCTTTTTACAACACCAGGTCTCCCGAACCAAAACCAGTGTCCGTCCCAAATTCGGGCGAAGATTTTGCTCACCGCATACTTGCTAAATATGGTTGGCAAGAGGGTCAAGGTAATTTTTTCCGAAATGCATTTTATTTTGATATTACTCTCTCTTAATGACAGTTTCCGTCACAGGATTGGGGAAAAATGAACAGGGTATTAGTGAACCATTGACCGTTCAGAAAACAGTTAAAGGCTCGGGATACATCGTCAATACATCAAGTAATTTAACAGGTAAAGAATAGCTTTATAATCTTTTGTTATTGTGCATCATGTGCAGACATTTGTTGTAACCTGTATTATTTAAAGCGAAATTGGACGTGAAATCTAAATCTGAACCTGTTCCTAAAGTAATTTCAAATTACGAGGTTCCATCAAGAGTGATCTTGCTTACGAACATGGTAAATATTCTTGGTTTTCTAAACATATTATAATTAACTTCGCTTTTAAATTCCAAGATTCACGTCATTTTAAATTTGATGTTTGTTAAGGTTGGTCCTGGTGAAGTCGATGACACTCTTCAAGATGAAACAGCTGATGAATGCAATGAAAAATACGGAACGGTAGAACGCTGTCTTATTTTTGAGGTAAGAAATGTTTATCTACATGTTAGGATTTTTTTTTTTTTTTTGGATGCTAATTTTAGTTTGTGATTAGGTTCCTCACGGCAAGTTGCCAGACGATCAGGCGGTACGAATTTTCGTAAAATTTGCGGATCAAGTCGCTGCGCTAAAGGCAAAGAAAGACCTTAACGGTCGGTTCTTTGGAGGTCGTGCGGTTTCTGCTAAGTTTTTTGATGAGGCGAGGTTTGAAAAATTGGATCTAGCTCCTTCTGCGGCCGAGTTACTTCTAGCGTGACATGATTTACCATTTAGTTATTTTGTTGTCTTCGTTTGTCAGGTTGTATTGTTTGTGAAAAATTTTTATTTACAAGTACCCGATATGGGATTTTGATTTTTGATTTTTTTTTCCTTTTTCGATAAGTATTTTTAATTATTCAATTCTTGGCGATTTATTATTGCATAAAATAAAGATGTTCAATTGCACAGTACCAATGCTATTTTTTAATCTGAAATGATATTATTCGCATTAACCCGGAATATATCAAACTATTAATCATATCTAACTTGTTATAAACTACAAAATTTTTAGTTTGAACCAATTTGGTGATACATAATAAATTGGATAAGGATTCATCTAGTTTACATATTATAATTAACAAAGTATTCAAGTCATTAAATAATAGAAATTATAAAAGAAAAAAAAAATGTATATACTGTATGTACAGTAGGGGACAAAAAAAATTAACTAAATTTTTTAAAAAATTAAAATTTTTATTATAAATTAGAATTTATTTATTTAAAAAATATAAAAAAATATTAATATACAGTAAATATTTTAGTTTTATAAAATAATTTATATTTATTAGATATTATTATTTTTAATTTTTTTTTTAAATTTTATATATTAAGTTGTATAAATATTATAAGTAATATATTATTTTATAACAAATTATATATAAAATTATATTTAAAAAGTCAAATTTATATATATTAGTTTGTAAAATTTGTGCATAATATAAAATTTTTTAATTAAAATAAAAATATAAAATAATAACAATAATAAAAGTTATAAAATAGTCTTAAGTAAAATTAATTGTCAGGTACTGTATTTAAATATTTATATTTTAAGTTTGATTTAATTTAAACAATTTTTTATTAAGTTAAATATATTTGAAAAAAAGATAATTTTTTTTGTCCCTACTATATATATTAATCCTTTTGTTAGATTTAACAAAAAAACTTTCTGTTGATTTTTAATTTCTTAAAGAATATAGTAACTAGTTTTAAAATAAGAATAAAATCTCATCAAACAAGAAAACATCAAGCATAATAACAAGCTCTAGCAAATATATAACTTGTCAGCAACAAATACAAGATAACATTAGTCAAAAAAAAAAAATTTAACATATTGTTACTCATATAATATTTGATAAAAAAATAAACAATTTATCAAATTAATTTATTTTCTTGCGGTCTACTTAGACATTTTTAGATATCCCTCTTCCTTTTTTCAACCCATCCTTTTGTACAGTAGTTTCCTATAATCCAGTGACTTGATACAACATACGGTAGTAACAATCTGTTGGCAATGATGCAGTGGACTAGGAAGGTCTTTATCCAAAGACAATTTGGTGCGAAATATTGTCCCCAAGATTGAACTTAGAGGCTTTTATATTTACGACGAGTTTGTTAGATTAGAAGAATAGTTTAGCTGTAGTATGTATCATGCTGCTTGAATAAAAATGTACTTATGTTTTCAATTAATTAATAAACTTACGATCTAACCTGGCTATGGGTATACAAAAAAAAACCCCAATTTATCAAATTAATAATATATTGTAAATAAATTAATAAATATATAATTTGACAATAAATATTACAAAAATTAGTATATTCAAAAACTTTTTCTAAAAAATTTTTTTTTTTTTTTTTTGATGGGTTCATACCTAACTTTATTGAATCTCAAATTACAAGTTTACATTACGCAAAGTATAAATATATGGATGTATATTCAGGAAAAATAAAAATAATAATAAACTAAAATTATTCTAAAGCTACTTCGAGACTTATTGTCCTTTCTTTTTTCAAAGAAAAACTAGCATTCCTAAAGTGTGCTGGTGTTATAAATGAAAATAAAAGAAATAAAAGAAAAATTGGATAGTCATGTGAAATATATCGGTCTTATTTTTTGGCATATACCTGTCTTATTCAAATTCCCCTTGTAAGAAGGTCTGGGGGAAAAACTTTTACTGAGTTTTTTATGAAAATAAGGTGGAAGCCAAAGAGAAGACTATACAATTTTAAGGTTTATGGGAAGAGAGTAGTCAGGAAGGCCCAAGTGATATATTGGTGTTCGCATGATTAACTTGAAAGTCTTCCAGTATATCATCAATTAAATCCATTTCTATCTAAATATAGGTATACTTACCCATCTATGCATCTTATTTCAGATTTAATTCCTTATATCAAAGACAGCACCTAGCCTTGCGGTCGATATACCTTGCTGATGGTCATTGATACTAATAATCAATGAGAATCTTCCAAACATTCTGGCTGACTCGTATATCACTACTGACATTTTCAGACTTGAGTTTCGATTGATATAATAGTATTAACCCTCTAGTCTTTCAGCTCAGGATTTTTTTGAAGATAGGATAAAAACTTCCTAGATTACTTTGCGTATAAGCTTTACCACTGAGTAATGATGTGTCCTTAAAGTATTTAACATATAAAATTTTGCAGATCACTTATGTCCCTTTTTGAAAGACAAAATTCATAGCTCTTCACTTTAATAGGGACAAAAATCAGGAAATGCTATAAATCAATACTTTGAATAATAAAGAACAATTGTGAGTAGTTTTTTTATAGTTATTAATTTAAAATTTTTAATGTTTTCTAATGAGGGACATTTGACTTATGTTCCTGCCTCCCCTTTTAGGGACCTATCTTTATCACTGAGTATCCTTAATAACTCTATGTTTTCTCTAATTTAAACTTTTTGAGTAGTAGAGGTTGGAACCTATCTGACATACAATCAGGGTGTAGATGACTTTGACTTGAGAAAAGATCAATTGAGCATCTTGTGATCTTTAATATGGTCAGACGGACTCATTCTTGTATCTAATAATGTGTTGGTAGCATGTCCTAAATCCATCCACACAAACACATATGACTTATGGTAGACTCTAGGTTCTTATAGAGCTGTATTAAGAAATTTTTTTGAATGGAGATCTCCACCATAAAAAAATTTTTAAAAATTTTTAAAGAAATCTCTGGAAATCTTCAAAGAGCTTTAAAAATTTTTAAAAGAAAAAATTTTTATAATAAAAAACTCCAAAGTTTTTTCATAATGAAAATTTTTAAAAATATATGAAAATTTATAATGTATTAAAATAAATATTTATTTAATAAATATTCATTACTTTTATCAAACCTCCGAAGATCTTTAAAAGTATATAGAATTAAACAATAAAGTATTGTTCAACTATGACCAATCAAAATTTTGATTTCTAAATTATTACGTCAATATTTTAATAATTACATTTTTATAGCAAATTACTTTATTTTTTAAGCAAGCTAATAATATTTATAATTATGAAGTTATTTTCAAATAGTGACAAAGATTTACAGTATATATAGTCATAAAGTGACATAATTTCTTGGGATTTGTGCTATATAAGTCTCTAAGATTCTTTACAATTTCCTTAATATCAAATAAAAGACAAGAAACATGTAACATGTTTTAAAACATTATTTCAAGTAAAACTTCTGGTAAAAAAAAAACCGTAATAGAAGTTCTTCACAGGCCTTCAAAAAGATATCAAGTTTTTTGAAGTTTTGTGGTTATGTTAAAACCCCAAGAAAAATGCCTCTGCTCAATATAGATAAAGACGTCCCCCAGAAGCATTTATGAATCTCCGGAAGTATCCACAAAACTGCATCGCTCCTGGCTTGGATGTATGAAGGAACTTCAGATATATTAAAAGAATACAGCACATATATAAATAAATACTAACTATTTGTTTAAATCATCATAGGTTTTTTGAGAGAATTTTGGAGTTCAACGAAGTTTTCCATAAGAAAATGGATCAGTTGCTAGAATGGCAAAAAAGTGTAGAGAATAAGGTCATCTGCCTTGAAAATGAAATTTACGCAAGTACATATTTGATTACTGAACAAGAATTTATTGATGTAAGTTATAAGTTAAAGATCTTTGGAGAACTTCAATAATATATTTGATATTTTATTA